CCCATATGAAGGATAATTGTGCCGGGTATAGTATTTTTGGTTGGGACTTTATTTAAAAGAGTTATTTTATTTAATTTTATTCATTCATTCAGTTATTTTAATTTGAACAGAGAAAAACAGAGAGAGAGAGAGAGAAAGTCACCATGTCTGGGACTTGAACTGTGGTCAGTCATGTGGGAGTATTCAGCACCTTAATCACCAAGCCACCTGCTGGTCTCTTCAAGGGAGGTTTTGATCTCCTGTATTGCATCCCTCATGTCTAACAGCCTCAGTTGATGCTTTTTCTCATGTGCATTTCCTCTTTCAGGCCGTGCAAGGACTTCCTCACCTCTTGGAACTGTCTCCTTTCTCCTGCATCTTGGGGAGTTCATTGTTTCTCAGCTCTTGCATATCCTGTAGTTTTGTCACTATGAATATTCCGAGTTCTCTATCGGACATTCCCATGAGTTCCTCTGTACCATCTGTGGATGATGAGGGATTGTTCCTTTCACTTAGAGGAGATATCTTTTCTTGGTTTCTCATATTTCTTGTGCCTCTGCTGTGGTTTATGGTCATTCTGTGACAAGATCCTCCGCTGTGTTTTACAACATGGTATCCACAGAAAGCGATTTTGAGTTCAGATTTATAAAAGAGATCTCTTCCTTATAGTAGGAGGTTCAATAAGCATTGAGGATGTCAACGGCCCTACCAGTATTCAGACACTTGGCTACTGTGCACCTGGGCCTGTCTAGACACTCAGTGTGTGGAGACTGGAGAGCAGAGTGGGAAAATAAGGTTAAAAAAAAGAGGAAAAAGAAAAACTAGACAAAACAACAAAAAAAGAGGAAAAACATTTTTAAAGGTAAAAAATTGAAAATTGCACGGTGCGCTAGCAGCAGGGCACACCTCATATTTAAAATGGCTTCTTAAATTGGGAAGAGAAAGAAAAAAGCCTGAGGTGAGAAGAATTGGCTTAAAATTTTTAAAAAATTAAAAATTTAAAGAGTGAGACAAGAAGACAGACACACAGGCAGGACAGAGGTCGCCGTTCTTGCGTGAGTGTTTCAGGGGTCCAGAAGATGAGGGTTAGAGCATAATTTTAGTCGCCCTGGGCCCTCAATGGAAGAATGTATTTTTGAATTCTGACTTGTGCCGGCAGCTCACATGCCTGTCTCAGTGGCAATGACACACCGTCTTGATTACTGTGGCTTCACGGTTTCTTCTGGGCTGAGAAGTGAGTCCTCTTACTCCATACCTTTTCAAAACTGCTCTGGCTCTTCTAGGTTCTTTGCATTACACATTTTAGCATCACTGAGGCGATTTGTACAAAAACACTTGCCAGGATTTGGGCAGAAATTTGATATACAGATTAATGTAGGGAGAAGTCTCATCTTGGAAATATTGAGGTTTCCAGTGAAGAACATTGCCTGTCTTCCAATTATTTTCATTTTAATTCCCTGAGCAGAGTTTCATAGCTTTTCATGTTAATGTTGCATTTATTTGCTTAAATTTATTCCTAAATGTTGGATGCTATATTGCAAACTTGTTTTCTTAACTTTATTTGCACTTTGTATCACCTTTCTTTAAAAGAATTGTCCCTTTGACTTGATTAATTTGTTTGTTCCTTTGTTTTTAACTTGGCCAGAAAGAGACAGAGAGAGAGAAAAGAAAGTGAGACAGCAAGCTGCCAGGTCCAGGGCTTGAACTTGAACTGTGGTAAGACATGTGGGAGTCCAGTACCTTAACCACCATGCTACCTGCCGGCCCCTGTATCACGTGTTTGGTTTTCTTTTTTTTTTTTTTTTTTTTTTTTTGGTGAGGTTTTTGC